GAATTTTAGCTTGATTCCAGCTGTCAATCATGGCACGAAGCTCCCTTTCACCTCCTACGAAATTTGAACCATTGTCGGAGCGAATTTCTTTAACTTGACCTCTACGAGCGATAAAACGTCTGAGTGCGTGAATAAAAGAGTCAGTGTCCAGTGAGTGACACACCTCCAGATGAACAGCTCGCAGTGCCAAACAAGTGAAGATTGCACCATAACGTTTGACCATGCTCCTCTTTTGACGAACAAGAAAGGGACCAAAATAATCTATCCCCACGCACGTGAAGGGGGGTTGATCTGGTGTAACTCGAGGCCGAGGCAGATTTGCCATCTTTTGTTCTCCAACGGGACCTTGTCGTCGTTTGCAATCGAAGCAGGATGAAAGCACACTTCTAACAGTAGAGTTGGCACGAATCAACCAGAAACGTTCGCGCAACAGAGCCAGGACATATTCTCTACCAGAATGGCCGCTTTTCTGGTGAAAGTGGTTCACAAGCAGACGAGCTAGATGAGGATCTTTAGGAATGATAATCTGATGCTTAGAGTCGTCTGATAGGGTAGCCCTGCTAAGGCGCCCGCCAACACGAAGAAGACCATCGGTCAAGATCGGATCTAATCTTGCAAGTGCACTTGACCCCTTGACGCATTTACCTCCCTTAACGGCTTCTAATTCTTCTGCAAAGGTGAGATTCTGCTCGAACTTGATAATCTCTTTTCCGGCTTCTTCCAGCTCTGCGTTTGTCACCAATTTCGCTCCAGATGCGTCAGCAGTATCCAAACAATTCTCCTTTGACACTTTTCTCCTCATCACAAATCTTCTCTGGCAGCGAAGACACAGCGCGATAAACTTCAACAATTTGAACCATGAAGAGAACCGTTGGATGATAGAAACGATACTTGAATCTTTACTCGCGTGAACAACAAAAGATTTCGGCTCTCGTTTCACCTCTGGGTCATCCTCTTCCAGTTCTACGCCGCCCAGAGGGACCTCTCCCATTCAGATTTATGTTTCAGCAGAAACGCCGGCCCCTTTATCCAGCGGTCGTTCTTAGTGAAGGACTCTGCAGTAACTCCTCGTGAAGCATCATCTGCAGGATTAGACTTGGAGTCGATGTGTCTCCACTGTGAGGACTGGAATCCTCTCTAATGAGGGCCACACGGTTGGCAACATAAGTGTGGAAGCGCTTGGATTCGTTTCCAATGTAACGCAACACGGTCATACTATCGGACCAGAAAGAGATTGCATCAATCGGAATCTCCAACTCCTTCTTCAATACTTTGTTCAAACGAATGGACATAGTGGCGGCCGCTAACTCTAAACGTGGGATAGTGACCTGTTTTAAAGGGGCGAGACGAGATTTTCCGAGAAGGAAAGAACAGTTGATCTGGCCATCGGAGTCAACCTGTCGAAGATACGAAACAGCTCCAAAGGCCGACTGAGAGGCATCACAGAAATGGTGAATCTCACTTGACACAACGTTACCAGATCCACGCCTAACGCACCGGCCCACTGACATCTGGGAAAGTTTCGGTAGACCATTTAGCCACACACGCCAACGAGATAGGTAGTCGCTGGGAATCTCATCATCCCAACCCAAACTCTTTCTGCACAGATCCTGAAGGAGCAGTTTTGCCGGAAGGATGAAAGGCGCTGCCATACCGAGAGGATCGTAAACTGAACTCACCACGGAAAGGATACCACGCCTGGTACAGGGTTTCTCCTTAATGTTCACTTTGAAACCAAATGAATCTGTCTCGACAAACCAGGATACACCTAGGGCTCTCTCTGCAGGAAGCGCGTCGTTATCAAGATCCAGATCTTTAACATCCTTTGCTCTAGCTTCTACAGGAATGGATTCCAAGACTTCGCGGTCATTGCTGATCCATTTAGTCAAATTGAAACCTCCCTCAGCATTAGCCGACGAAGTTCTTCCACATGCTTTATTGCAACAGCCGCTGAAGGTAAGGACTTCAGGCAGTCGTCAACGTAGAAATTCTTCAAGACAGTACTAACCACGTCAGGGGAAAACTCGTGCCTATGATCTTCGGCATTCCGTCGCATGGCAAAGTTAGCACAACTGGGAGACGAAACCGCACCGAACAGATGTACGGTCATCCGATACTCTTCTAATTCCTTGGAGAAGTCACCACGGGGCCACCAAAGGAACCGTAGGAGGTCTCTATCTACTTCTGGGACACGCACCTGATGGAACATAGATTGAACGTCACCCATGACTGCGACTGGCTCCTGACGGAAACGGATCAGCACGCCAACCAGATTATTGGTTAAGTCAGGACCTTGAAACAGCTCATCATTCAGGGAAGTTCCTTGAGAATGGGCTGAGCAATCGAAAACGACACGTATTTTATCCGGTTTCTTATGATGATAAACGCCGTGGTGCGGGATAAACCACACCTTACCATCTGATCTCTCCAGGACATCCAGGGGAACCTTTTCTGCAAAACCGTCACCGATCACCTTCTCAAGACAAGCAACATAGTCCTCGCGAAACTCCACATCTTTAGAGAATTTACGTTTAAGATAGAGGGCACGGCGTCCTGCTTGACTCCGGTTTGCTGGCATCTGCAAGTTGAGGTCCCTTAACGGTAGAGAAACCTGATAATGACCATCTTCACACTGCATAACTGAATCCTCTACAATGTTCATGAACTTTAAGTCATCCCTTGACATGCTTAAACCATCGGAAAGAGTGGCATCTGCAAAATCAGCACATGCTATACACATAGGATGAGACTCCTTACAGTTAACGAAGAAACTAGAAGATGGGACAAACTTTTGCTTTCTTCCAGTTGGGCCATTGATAACCCAGCCAAGATCAACTCTAGTTGCATATGGACCCCCATCAGAGGCAGGGACAACTTCTCTCGGTTGTAGGGCTTCAGGTACGTTTGCACCAATCAATAGATCCACCTCGGAATTCAATTCTGCTAGGTATACATAGCCTTGGAGGTGCGGCCATCGCTCCACATCCTCCTGTTTCGGGATCTCGTCTTTCACTACAGGCATAGAAGGTCGGGAAAGAACTTCTGGCAAGGAAATGACAACGTTCTCGTCTAGATCAGCCACTTCCAGGTTCGTAACAACGAGACTGTCCACATCGTTGCAGCTATCCATGGTGGTTAGCTTGAGTCTCATTTTCTTGCCGCAGACTCTCAGACGTCTCAACAGATTAGCCGAGCAAAAGGTGGTGTTAGATCCATTATCCAGCAACGCATAGGTCTCCACGGACCGAGGACTTCCTTTGACTTTGACCTTCACAGCAACAATGGGCAATGCAGTCACGGAACCCTCCATTGTGGTTAGGCCACAAAAGTGATCAGCTCTGTTCTTCTCAGTACTGGACTGGTTGTTCTCGCTCTGAGGTCCATCCTTACCACGGTCGGACGCAACAATAGCTTCTGGTGCACCTACATGCATTACAGTAGCGTGTCTCTTATTACAGTGAATACAGGGCTTCCTTTTGTGACAACTTCTAGACTGATGGCCTCCACCTAAGCACGAAAAGCATAGCCTCTGCTTCATGACAAACTCCTGACGATCTGTAGGAGGTACTGTGGCGAAACTGGAACATTCGGTGAGATTGTGATCTGCATTACAAAACAGACAGTTCTTCTTAGAAGAATGAACTGCACTCAACACATCAGCAGATGAATTGAGAGCGGATTTCGTCTCGGAAATCGTGACGAGGCTTAGCTGTTTTCCACCGGGTCTCTCAGACTTCGATCTCGAACCCCTATCCTTGCTGTTCTTCTTCTCCTTTTCCAAACAAGGAAGCTTGCCAAAAACTGGATTGGACAATGTGCGAGCTTTCTGTTCAACGAAGAGTGAAATATCATCAATGCAGACATCTCTCGCTTCCGAGTTGAGGATCCGATCAGCGTTGTCCCGCCAACTGGCTTGCAACTTCGGGGGAAGCCTCTCAATAATCTTCCGCATGCTATCCGGACTTTCGAACTTGCTGGAATGGCCGATAGCCTTAAGAGTGTTTGTACAGCTAGAGAGCAAAACGGCAAAGCCTTCTAGGGCGTCTGCATCTTCAGCTTTGATGACTGGACCATTAGTGACTTTATCCATATATGCCATAGCGATTTTGTGCTTCTGTCCAAATTTGCTCTCTAAGAGTTTCTTTGCCTTTACGTACCCATCTTCGGCTTTCATGTAGAGGCAACTTTGTACCAACTCTTGAGCTCTGCCAGCTGTGTGCTGTTCGAGGTAATAGAGTCTCCCAGCGTAATCTAGTTCTCTAGTTTCGATTACGGTCTCGAACGCGCGAATGAAAGCACAGTAATGTAAAGGGTCTCCACTGAACACAGGTACACGTCTCCTGGGTAACAAGTTCCTTTGCTGCTGTTTCACGAACTCTTCCATTACTCGGTTCTGCTGGACGAGAATGCCATAGGCCTGGTCGCTCAGACCTGAGTTGCCAGAGCTTGAACTTGAATCACTCACAGCACCCTTATGATCTTTAACCGGGTTACTTGACTTCACAGACAATTTCTCTTTCTTATCGGCAGGTACAAATGACTCACGTTTTGAACCACCAGTCCTTGACTTTTCAGTGATGGAGGATACGACTGAAACGGGACAACGAGGATTCCTAGAGGCCACGTTGCTAGGCGCGAAATTACCCGCTTCAGCTTGAGCGTAAGCTTCTTCTCTAGCCACCGCTTTAGCGTACTCAGTTTTGAGGTTTAATTCATCTTTCTTCAACTGCAGGTCGTACTCTTGCCTCTTGAGGCGTAGCTCCGATTCCTGAAGCGAATGGCGGTGTTTCAAAGCGTGTGCCTCCGCTCGAAGTTCCGCGATGCGAGCTGCCTCTTTGGCTCTTGCAGCAGATATGGAGCTCGTTTTAGAAAAGTGACTCGTTCTCGATCCACACATGGATGGTCTAGACTTGCTACGAACCTCGGACCCAATTTGAGAAGCGCTGTCGTCAGGCGTTATCAGGTTATCTTGAAGCCTGGCTTCCGTGACACGTAACCAATCATTGACCGTACGGCAGAAAAAAATCTAAACTGCTTTCAATGTCGGCGAAATAGAGGTCTGATTCTTGTCTCTGACTTTCCTCAACCAGAGCTACATTATACGCGTCATGAGCCTCGGTAAATCTTCGAAATAGCGACGTGATTTCCGACAGCTTTACTTTCACCGTCTCCAAATTATTTACATCCGTTAAAAGACTATCGATCTCTCGACGCTTGGACGTTAACGAAGACAACACTCCTCCTCTCCGCTTTCTGAGTTCACGAATGCGTTCAAGAGAGATTCCTTCGTGATCCAAAGAGGTATTCGGTTTACGAGCACGTGGACCGTTTTCGGCAGGTTGGCCGTTCTTCCCGGCCGAATAAGACAGGTAGACATCAGAACCGTTGCGAGACATCGACATAAACTTCCAATAAACCAGATTCGTCTTTTACAAAATATAGCCGCAAACGCTAATCACTCGTATTTCAAACTTTACTAGAACAAACTTGACACATTGTTGAATACGGTAACTGAAAATGACAAAATTACAAACACGCGAATGAGCATAAAATAACTTACATCGTATGAGTGAAAGTACTGGAAAACGACAAAGCGAAATAAACAAGGATACTTACAAGACGAATGTGACCAAACCAAAGACGAAAACATGAAACTCAGAGCTAGATATGTAACGGTAATTTTCACAAACTAGACAACTAACCAAATAAATTACGCGCAACCAATATATATACCATATGCAAATAAATATAACAAGTACAAAACTGGTAACTGACAAAGGACACTAATGGAAGACGAGAAAATAATCACCTAACACGAAACTATGAAACACCAACACTAACAAAAAATGATAATACAAATTCTTGCGCCTACATTATTGTAAGAACACCATGCACTATTGAAAGCTTGCTAAGCCTGATTATTTAATGACATCCAAATAACATTACATGCTACAATGTGGTTACTACAACAAAATTATATAATCACGCAATTCTCAACAAAGGAAGTCAGGTTACAGACTTGCCTTCTACAATTCCAGAGGGCTTAAGGTACAGAGGAATAAGTATAGTAAACAGTTAGAAATAACATAAAGTTGATAGTTTGAAAGCTGAAAGATGTAGAGTACAATTTATCAAACTCTCTGCATCGAAACAAAAATGAGTTCACTACTGCCATAACTTCTTCCATACATTAATGTTTACAGGAAATCATTAATTTTTGTCACTAGGTGGCACTGTACTAACAATAGTTCTGCCAACCACAAATACATATTTTCAGTTGTCTCATAATTTATGACTGTACAGGTCAATGGAAGGTACATTCCCACCTCTATAGGGACTAACATTACAACTACGTCGGGAAGCTGTAATCATCAAATTAACAAGCCAAGATCTATTAAAACGAAGTGCTTAAGTTTTCCAATTGGTCACCTTTGTTACAGTCAAGCTCACTCCATTTCGTGGCCATCTTCAGCAGAACTATCCTGTTGCATGGGAAAACATCAAATGTTACTCACATATTCAAATAAATAACTGAATCAAAGGTTATAAGTTTTTTTCAAAACCTGCTTCCTTTAACCAATTGACCCTAAGAGTGACTAGCATGTTATTTCTCCTTACAAAATCATCCCCTGAATCACACATTAAGTGCACAAAATTAAAGGAAATGGTCACCAACTAAAGAAGCTGAAAACTGTTAAGCAAATTATCCTTGCCAGCACCTTCCAAATTGTATAGGGATTGTATGGTTATCCAAATGGAGGATTGGGAAAAAAAAACTGTCTTTTAATCCAAGATCCTGCAAACATGATAGACACTTCATTTATCTTCACACGAATATACACACCCTTCATTTATATACACTCGAACATCGTAACTGAGATCAAATTGAAGAAAAAGCATGTGGATGTTGGGTTGTAAAGGCTTAATTGTGCTCCAGAAACAGTAAATGATGTTGAATAGATTGAAAGGATGAAAGTTCTTGAAACGTTCTATTTTAAATGAAAATTCATTAAATGTTAGTAATGATGAAAATAATCTGTGAAGCTATAGTCATAATTACTTTTCCATGTAAACATACCATGATGAAATGTTATCTATGAATGAATTTAATCTCACTCATTTTGAACGTATAATCCAAAATCTGAAATGAATTAACTTAACTTGCAGTTGAATAAGAAAAACCTCAATATGTTTTTCCTGCTACTATCATTCTAAATATCAAACCTGTCACTACACCAAATTACGTAAAATTTTTCCATCCATGGTCACTTTATTGTGATTTTTTGACGATGTGCACTCTCTCTTTTGGCCATCTATTTTTATTATTTATCTTTTACCAGCTTCATCTGAGAAGAATGAAGTCCACACTGGTAATTTGACACATTTTAAGCAAATCTTACAACTGATTAACTTTTGTTGGATAAAAAACATAAAAGGCATAAAAATTAATATAAAAGGCTGCAGTTTCCCTTTTTAAGTCTTGATCCTATACATTACAATTTTATAACGGGTTTATAGTCTTAAGATTTTCTTGTACATATTTCTTTCTTTCGTCAATTAATATATTTACAATTTGATTACGTGTTTATAGTTTATTCTACTTTAAATATCGTTTATTTTGTAGATAGATATACCTTATATATTTATTCGCTTATTTTGTCTTCTAAATTTTCTCTTTTGTGAGGGCCATAACTTAGAAAACTATAATAGGTTATTGCGTCTCCCTCTTTGAATTAAGTTATTCATTCATTCATTATTCATTCATGCGAGCCGATTGGAACAAACCCGACCAACCTTCCTACCTCTGAGTAGCCCTTCTCAGTGCCGTCAATAAAAAGTAAAGAGTTTTCGTCCGTTTCAGCCCCTGCTATTTAGTCACAGGGATCTGTAACCTGTACTTTCCGTAAACAAGAACACCTTAGCGTGAACTGTGGTGTAAATCTATTTCTCGCACGCCTATCCTCTACCGAGCACTCGGAGGATCTACTGTGCTCGATTTGCCGCTATTCGATTCATTGTAAATGTTTTTCATAATACCAACCACAACCCCTGTTGAGTCTGTCATACATATTTTACTCTCATTCACAAGTCACTAGTCACTGGTCCCATGCCCCACCCAACAGGTTCAGATACTGATTGTCATTTAGTCACAAGCCATACTTTGCGGCCAGACACTTCCTCATGAGAAGTTCTTGGATATTATTCACCTAAACAACGGCCGCTTTTAAGTCTCTTTTCTTCGAAAGGAACAGTACGCATTAGTACCGGATAACTACGCCCAAGCCGTTTCTCGCCTGGCTGCTGTCCTAAAATGTCTAGAAAGAATCCTGGATTGTTTGAAGAATACAGCCAAATCATTGTAGAGCAATCTTCACCAGGAATAATGTCCGATGTTGATCCTGACAAACCAGTCGAAATTGGTCACGTTATTTTTTTACCGCATCATCCAGTTATACGCGGAGACAAACAGACGACTAAAGTGAGGATAGTCTATGGTGCATCCGTCAAGTCTGCTGGTCCGGTGTTGAACGACTGCCTTCCTGCAGGTCCATCATTGCTTACTGACATACCCGATGTACTGATGCGTTTCAGGTACCATCGTGTTGCTTTGGCCGCCGACATTGTAAAAGCCTTCCTAATGGTCCGGATCAAAGAAGCTGACCAAGATGTTTTGCGCTTTCTTTGGATAGATGATCCTGATAACGAACATCCAAACATTGTCGTGAAACGTTTCAATCGAGTCGTATTTGGCGTCGCAAGTTCTCCCTTTCTGCTGAACGCAACAATTAGACACCGCGTAACCAAGTATGAAGCTTATCATCCCCAATTCGTGAGCGATTTTCTGACCTCTCTCCATGGGGATGACTTCAAGAGGGGAAAAGACAGCGTCCCTGAAGCATTTCAGCTCTACACAAAGGCAAGATCAATAATGAAGGAAGCTGGCTTCCATTTGAGAGAGTGGATTTCAAGTTCTGAACGGCTGATGGAATGGATCGACGAAGAAGAAGGAGCACCAGTCAAAGAAATGGTTAAGTTATCGAAAGAAGACGGTACTGAAGAGTATGCGCACGCAGAAAATCTATGGTTCCGCGAAATACAACAGTCCTTAATCAAGTCACAAAAATTTAAAGAATTTGAAGCAACGGCTAGGATTGTACACAGATGAAAACGAGTTGCTCCTGTTAAGGGAAGACTACAAATTCCATTCAACGCCAAGTTCCTCATTTTCATGCCATCAGATCACTACCTAACCGTTGTTATCATTCAAGATTGCTACAAGACAAGTTGTTCAGAAGATTCTTGCATGGATTGCAAGACGATAGAAGGGCAACATTATGCTATCCCACCGACCGCGCCCTGCCTCAATTTCTTGTGGAAGGGAATCCTGCCTACACCAACACTGGAACCGATTTTGCCGGACCGTTGTCCGCTAAGAGTGGCTCTACGGAAAAAGTTTTTAAGAGGGTCGACGTCGTGTTGTAAACTTGTGGAAGTTCCAGAAGTGTTCATCTTGATTTTGTACCAGACCAGAACGCGGACACATTCAGTAGAAGCTTGAAAAGATTCATCTGCAGACGAGGTATACCAAAGCTGGTTGTCAGACAACGCCCAAACCTTCAAGACTGTCGCTAAGTTCTTATCATCCCTCTCTGAGTTACCAGAAGTTCAAGATCTACTCTTGAATCATAAGATTAAATGGCGATTCAATCTCGAGTTAGCGCCGTGGTGGGGCGGTTTCTTCGAACGCATGACTCGTTGCGTTAGACGTTGTCTCAAGAAAATCTTGAAGAACGCGAAGGTGACTTATGACGAGCTTTCGACTGCCGTGATGGAAGTAGAATGTGTACTGAACTCGAGACCACTCACATATGTATCCTCAGACGATACAGAGGAACGTCTAACGCCTTCTCACCGGTTGACAGGGAGGAGAGTTCTGTCCATCCCTGACGAAGTTGCAACCGCTGAAGAAGATGAAACTGATGTCGAACTCCCCACCCGAAGACAGCGTTTTTTTTTTCTACATTGCTTGGTCAATTTTGGAACCGGTGGAAACGTAAGTACACGATGGATCTAAGGGAGCACCACGAGTCTACTAATGAAGGTGCTAACGTCAGTTGCCACATGAGATATTGTCAGCGTGATGGAAAAAGAGAAGTCAAATCGTGGTACGTGGAAACTTGGAAGGATTGCGTAAGTGCATCTTGGAAACGGCGGTTTCGTTGGAGGAGCTGCTGTTGAAGTTGCTTCGAGCAGTGGCAAGAGAAAACGTCTGAAAAGATCCTTACAAAATCTGCTTCCGAGTCATCTGCCAAACTGTGCTTTTTATATTTATCGACCGTAGCTCATCTGTAATCTGACTTGTCTGCCAGTAGAATATGTTTCTGCCGCTCAGAAATTAATCTCTCACTTTCTCCTAATCTGGTTTTGACCTTCTCGAGCTGTGGATTTTCGGCGGCGGATTTGGCGCTGTCAAGCGTCTTGATCAGTTTCTGGTTAAACTTGAACTGCTCCTCGTTTGCCTTTTTCTTAAATTTATGAGATTCGCTGAATTTGAGGCGCTTGATCTCCTTCATCTGACTTTCCGTCGATTCTTCCTTCGACCGTTTGATCTGAGAAGCGGTCTATTTCAAAAGGCCTTTGAAAGAAACGAGAAGGTTGTCATTGTTAGCCTTGATTAGTGCTTCCACGTCTTCTAGCTCGATCGACATGGCGACAGCGAGAAGAAAAGATCAGAAAAAGACCACTGAATCTGTCATAAGCCAGAAGTGGACGGTTGGTTTTGAGGCCTAGATGGACACCACGTGCTATACTCCCCCTTATATACCACTGCATCATTTACCAATGATGCACGGGCCTGAGGCCCAGGCCTCGTCGTATCTCGTGCCGACAAAATATATATTTCTGCGTTATTCGCAGACTCAAACGTCAGAAATACCATTTTGTCGGCTCAAGACACATCAGAACTTAGAAACCAGGCCATGGGCGTCAAAGGTAGCAATATTGGGGTCATAAGCTCCTTATTCCAAGTGAAGGTCACCCTGGCCTCGGAACAAACCGCGTTTCTGGTCCAAATTTAAGTTTGCGAGTCTTATTATTCCCATGTTTATTTATACATTGAGTTGTCTATTTCCTATTTAGTTCCTGTGAGAAGGAGTTTCTTTAGTTACAAGCTCGATTTCCTGCACATATCTTTCCTTTGGGTCACTTTTTAAAACAAATTTTCACTAGCCTCCGCATAACAGCATTTGCTTGTTGTAAGCGGTCAGTAGTGTTCGTCGTTAATATCCATGTGGTTGTATTATTTACGTAATTTGTTGCAGCTTATGTAGTTATAAACGTTATTTTGTTACAAAGTCTCCAGTGATATATGGCATTAACAGTTTGTACAATCTATATTCAATGGTTTCTTGTAATAATTACTTACGTCGTTCGGTTTTTCAGATTTGTAGATCCTCAGCTGGGGATCTAAATCCTTTAGGTATGAGTAATTCCTCAACCTAACTTTTAACGTAACTGTCAACGAACTTAGTGATATCGACCTTGAGATCTTAGAGCTTGTTATATGAAAGAGCTTGTCGTCAAGAGTGATCTCTTACGATATCGGCAGCCTTGTAATTCCTTATCAGTCCCTAGTGGCAGCCTCACTGAGACTAAGCTTAGGTGTTAAAAACGGTAAAACGAATGAAGTTACCGCTCTAAAACTGAGACAATATAGGTGATTTAAACTGGTTCTTTCTCAGCTCGTTCCACTGGCGAACTTGTAAATCAGTAATATCCTTTAACGTGGTTACACCGGCACGGTAAATTTTGCCTTTTTCTCTCACTGTATTAACCAAAACTTTATGTCACTTTATGTAATAAGCTCAGTTATGCACGCATTCTGATTGGTTCTCACTTATGATCTATTGGAGGACAGACGTATAGATGACGTCATAATTCTTTATTATATAAAACAAATAGATTCCAAGTTGCCGTGCTTCTGTTCAGTAACAGATCACAGAAGACGTCAAAATGTGGTAAGAACAAAAAAGTGGCACACGAGGCGCAGTCGAATGTGTCTTCCAATCATCCAATGGTGTCAACGGAATAAAAAAAGTAAGGTTAGAAATGCCACTCAAACGATTGAACAAATTACAGTAGCGATCTTTATGTTCATAAGCTTTTTTAGTTTTTTCGTTAAATAGTTGAAACCTGCAAAAATGCTACGAGAAATATTTGTATAGGCCATCAGTGCTAAACTACTCTACCTTGATCTTCGCACAGGAACTCCAAAGTTTACAAACGACTTGACAATAACTTGGAGGTATCAAAAACTGCATCCATGAAGAGGCATTTAAGCACGCACTTCAATAGCGCTGCAATTATGAAGTGCAAGAAGCAACCCTTAACCACCCTTAGGCTTGTTAGGGTTACAACTACTTTGAGCGAATGAATCATGCCGCATCGCTCGTTGCGCGGATTAACAAGGAATACGTCCCTCAACGAGGAATAATAATTTATTTAACACTTGTAGTGCACATGCTGAACTCACAAAACAGAACTATATCTATATCCCTATAACACTGGTTTTTTATCTTTAAACCTTTCGGTTTATTGACACGAAGGTTCTATTTTTTGCCTGTACGCAAACTACTGTAATGTTTGATTAACATATAAACTATGTAGTTTTATTATGAAGGGCATTTTGTATTTCTAGTTATACGGTATCATACACAACTATCTTACTTTACTTTCGAATTGCTTCTTCCCCAGTCTGTCCTCTATGTATTAGCTAATTGATCTTAATTCAGTTCTGATAGGTTTCCACCCCCGTTGGACCAATGGTTGACAATGGATCCTTTTGATTTCTTGCATTTACCAGCACCATGCACTTCATTTTATTTATCAAGGAACATCACATTTCGGACTCCCAAAAGGAAGCGTTTATCTGGGATTTTTGAGGACTTGCAAAGTGCTTGGGAATGTGATATCACGCTGCATCGAGTGATGGTGCTGTTAGTCTTATTCTTTAATATTATTTTTCTTCAATTTTCTTATTCTTATAACGATAGAGTAAAAGAAAAGATACAATATTTAACATGTAAACTGACCGACACCAGATATTCAAACCACCATTACAATAAGTAATCCTATAGTGAACTACAATTTAATGAAAACGTCTTGATAGTCCTTATCATTCTGATGTAATGAGAAGCACTTGAGGACTTTCTAAATTATCTTGAAAAGTTCATTTATCAGCTTTCCCTCTCACAATCTGGTATCCAAACTGATTGTGCTGATGTTGACGGGAGATCGAGATTGAGCGATTTCTCGGGAACCCGCCAACTCAACATTTGTAATCAAACTTGGCTGTGACGAGGTTCTTGACTGAGTTTTCTTAAAAGGGCCTCTTTTTCTTAAATAGTAAAAGATTCCTTTCACTTCACTCCGCAGATTTTCGCTAAAGGCAATGAATAGCCAGGGATGAATTGCTGCATTGGCATGCGCAAACCAGAAAAACAGCCCAAGGACAACTATGGGAATATTCTCGTAAATGTCACCATAAAAGATTGTCATTATGTGGGCGACATGTGCAGGAAGCCAGCAAATGGCGAACACGGCAACTGCCATAAGCAACATCTTAATGATTGCATTGCGCTTCTTCTTTTGCCTGGTATACGCTTCTTGATTGACAGTTCCAGGTGGTCTTTGTTTCCACAGGAAGTATGCAATTGACGAGTACAAGACCGCCATTATAAAAAGTGGTATTGCATAAGTGAGGACGACTTTACCGATCATATCTGCTTCCTCGAAAATTTGTGCGAGCTCTTTGTTTTCGTGCCATTCAGTGGTACACTCGGCAGATTCACCTTCTTCCTCTATCAATTTATGTTTGGGAAGTTCCCCACTAAATATCAAGCTTGCAAGCAACCACACGATGACTATAGAGCGCACCACCGATCGAGGTGATAACGGCCTTCTTCGGATACACACGATAGCCAAATACCGGTCAGCGGCAATGACAGTGAGAGTCCAGATGGACACACAGATGGAGACGACAGACAGGAAAGGAGTGAGTTTGCATAGGATGGACCCTACAACCCCTGATATCCAGCAGTCTCCACAGAAGAAAACTGGCAACGTGAAGGCAGTGGAAGTTGTCACATCCAGGAGATCAGCAACAGCCGTGTTGAAGAGAAGCCAGTTAAATGCGTTCTTTCGAATGTTGTTGCGGGTGCGCACGAGATGTAAGATAAGCGAGTTTCCCACCAGCGAAAACAGACAAATAAAGGCGTATGCACCGATCATAATTATTCTATCGACCTCTTTCAAGTTTTCGCCGTGCCCATCATCGAATTCTTCTTCGCCAAGAGTGGTGTTAGAATGACTTGTATTATTCATGGCTTTCAGTTGACAACCTAGGAAAAAAAAGGGATGTCTTGAATTTTGTGATCAGCTTGTTACGTAACCAATCTCATGATAATTATAATAATTAATCATAACATATGGAAAAGAATATTCGAATGGCCCCTTAGATTGCTTTCCAATTTGTTCGAGTTGTTCCAGGTACCACCCACCCTCAGTACTGGATGTTTTCCACAATGTGATACCCTGTATTCACAAATCCAGGCTGTTGCACAGCGTCCTCAATCAAAGTAGTGGGTTAAGTACATCTGTCCATGTCCCTCAGCGTAGCTGATAGAAAGATTTGGCATGGTAGATTTTCGTTCCATTTAAATGCTCAGAGCTGGATACAGTTGCATTCAATACGGCTAAAGAGAATCTCAGAAGGGAATATAACTCTAACTCCAAAGATCGCATTAGTAATTCTCACAGTCTGCCTTTCCATTCATATACTGGTAGTTCGAAGAATTTAGTATTGGATCAACTACTTACCCCTTAGTTTATATATATATATTTTTTAATTTTCATCTCCTTTCTGCTTGATATTGTATTGATATTGATGGGAGAAATTCTTTCTTGATCATTCCTGGGAGTCAAAGGGTTCAGGGACTCACCACTTAAACTGCTTAAAATAACTGCTGAATCCCTTAGCCTATTATTTCATTCCACAAAATAACGTTTTTCTATGTTTTTAGTGATGTTGTGAAACCGACTGACAGGCTTTATCAAATATCATTACAACAGAAACATTCTGCCGTGTACTTACATCACAATCAAAGCTCACTTTTTGTACTGGCTATTCGGTACTTAGGCTGAAACCGTGCTTAATTTACGTTTGTTTGCTAATTGGAAAAATTTCGCCAGATTGATTTCCATCACGGTTTTCGTGTGAAGAAAAACTCACCTTTAGGGTTCAGTCTTCGCCTAGAGAAGGGTACAATTGTTGTTCAGGCAATAATTATGACGATGGAGGCTTTGACTTTCTGATATGAACTTATTTTATGACTTCCTATTAATTTAAGGGAGGTCCTGGCTTCCTTACTGAAACTAAGATAAAACGGTTTCCGAACAATTAACACAACATGTTAATTTCATGAATTCCACTTAATGCAATAGTCTTATATCAATAATATCACCTGAAGGCAAGGTAAACAATTTTAATGTCTGAACCAGAATTTTCCTCAAGAACTGAAGTTAAAAGGACCCTACTGTTTTTTTGGTAGTATTTTTATCCCCGTCATCTCGTGGCTTGTTAACCTGACTCGTAAAATGCATTCACTCGATAGATTTTCCTTTTTTCTTTTCTATTCTGGGTGAAAAGATTGGTTTCTGCTACCTCTCTTTTTTGAGTAAAATACCGCGTAATGTCGTGCTTCCGAAGTCTAAAGCTCCAGCAAAACTAATTTATTATAAGTCTAGTAGATGTAGTTTCTTCCAGAAAAAACCAATACCTTAAATAGAAGAAAGGATGTTAAACTTTAAATATATTCGGCGCAATCGAGCATGTTGAATTCAGAAGTACCTTTGTTTCCTGAAACTTTCCATCAGGACACTCTCTCAAACGATCTCAAAAAACGTGGCGTGAACGGAAATAGAGATTTGCTATATCAATTGATATGTTCCTCTGCAATCCTTCTGATGATTGCCTTTGTGTTGAGCAGCAAACATCGCTATCGGCTGACATCTTAACATTATTAAAAGGCAAAATTTGCATTTCTATTTCATTTGTCGGGTAGCTTCAAAGAATTCGAACCCACAGTATGCGGCTAAAAATCTTTATCAATTCAACGATAATCTCAGCTGAGGAAGGAAAGAGCACGTTTAATTTTACTTATTTTACTTAGGTAACAGATATTTTTATCTAATCTTTGAGGATCAGTTTTAACTGTTAGAAATGTTTAATAGTAATAGAAGCAAATTGGTTTATATAGTATGCAAAGAAAAAATATTATCGCACTGGGAAGTGTTTAATTAGCAAACAGAAGAGTTCTTTTGAACGCCCAAAAACGTATGCCCCCACTGAAGAAGGAAAAGGACGTGCTGTCGGCTTCCTTTATTGGTATTGAAAAATAAAGTGAGTTCCTGCATAAACTTAACTTAAATCTTCCAAAATTTAATAAACCGGATGCTAGAAGGAGGCCTTACGGCCGTTTTACGACTTTTCACGAAACAACAAACAGATTAAACCAGAATTAAAGACGGTGAAATGAACAACAAGCAATTTATAACACCGCAATAGAATGAAGTGAAAGTGAAGCGTGATCCTAAAAAGATTCTTTAATTTAAGTGTTCACTGATTTTTGAAGATTTAGAGGAACAATCTTTGATCACTTTCTGATACTCATTTACCTATCAGCTATCCAAACTGATTGGACTAATGACGATGAGAGATCAAGAACTAGCGATTTCTCGGGAACCTGCCGATTCAACACTTATAATCAAACTTGGCTGAAACGAAGTCCTTAACTGAGGTTTCTTGAAAATGCCTCTTTTTCTTATTTGTTAAAGATACCTTTTTACTCTCTATGGGCGTATGAGTGAGGAACGATGTTTTATACCGAAGATAGCCTGGAAGTAGCATTTTTTAAGGGTAACTTCCTAAATTTTGCCTTGAAATTACACTATAGATTCAGATCGGTAGAGGCATATGCAGCCTTACCTTTAACAAAAAAAGCTGCCGAAGTAATAAAAAATACAATAACAGGAAAATGAAGTGAGCACTACGCAGCTTTACTTACCACCTGTGACATTGAAAAGAGTCAGTTTTCTGTCTTTTCTACAATGGTCGTAATCATGATGAAAATTCCTCCATATTGATAATATAATTGATCCTCAAGAAGTTGACGTTTTCCTTGACATCCTGTTGACTAATCAGTCACATAGCATCCACCCCATGCTGATCGCTTTCTGTTCGAAGACACATACTTGAAAAAGGTTGGCTTTTCCTCATTCTTCGAAATAAATCAGTAATACACGTAACAGATGACATAAAATTTTTTAAATGATTTTCGAAACACTCAGGTGTTTTTATAAACGCTCAAAATGATATCAACTGCGCTGAAGAACTGTGGCGCTTATTTATCTTGATCGATAGTATATTTGACGATTGATTTATTCTCAAGGTACATTATTGTTACACGCTCACCATGCATAAGTTTTTCTTTGTGAGGGATGCTTGAGGTAAGGCCGCAAGCGACTCTTATTTCTCTCTTAAGTGCTCCTTTTAAGTTATGTCTTCTAATTTTTTTTTAATGCGTTTTTACTCGGAAATGGAAAGTTGAGATTATGAATACATGCGTGCAAGCCATGTTTGCTTTACCATGGCGTCGAGTTGGCCTTGTAGAATCAAGCCAATACGACCACTTCAACGGCGTCTTCGCTTCTGTTTTCAATAAAGTTCATACATTTTTTGAAAGAAAACTAATATGGGACATTGTGTATGCTATAGCAGAGCTATTTATTCCATTTGGACAAATGCACCCTTAGCAAAGTTATTTTTTCGCACGGTAGATTGATAAGTGTAGCGCAGCAGAATCTTTGCCGTGCTGTGCATAGGTTCGAGGGCGATCAACGTTTTCTCTAGCTTCCCATTTATTGCAAATTTGAGGGGGTTTCCTAGTGTAGTAGCCGCAAATTTGAAAGACGTATTTTTACCACTACTCGCAAATTAGTGTACAAGGAGTCATTTTTTTCCAAAAGAGAATTAATAAACCTCAAAATTTTTAGCTTTAAATTTTCGGAGCTGACTTACCTTGAAGATGGGATTAGACTGCTGTTTGGCTGTTGCTGTTCATTTCTTTATGTTTGCTTTTAATAGCTAGAGCGCTTTAAGTAGATTTGTCATTTGTCATTTGTCATTTTGCAATGTAATGAGTACATTTATGGTGTTCTTTCAAGCGAGATGTTTACCGGCAAAAGTAAATGTTTTTCAAAGTCTACAAGTTTTTTCATAAAACCGTCCAATTTTGTAATTATACTCGTGGGGTAAGGTTTTTGAAGATAAATTCTAATCCAATGGGCGACATAAAGGCCGCAAAAAGACAAGGAATCACTTCCGCCCTGCATTTGTCTCGCGAAGATTTATCTTACCGTATGCTTCTTTAAAAGTTTTCCTTGTAGGAGTTTGGAAAAATTGAAAAAACCATTTCTACAGATAATATAATTTATTTCCCCAGCCCTCTTTTGCTGTCATAACATTGCAAAGAGTAAATTTTTAATTCCGCTGAAATCTACTGTAGTTTTATTTAGCCCGTACTGCTCTCTCTATTTAGAGCTATTTTCATACAGAGTCGAGATTTTCTTGTCCAGAAGGAACAAATATCCCCGGATACCGCTCTCTTTGATCGTGGTCATCATTGTTAGGCACGAAAGCCGTTGAAAGAGGTGCTCGAGATTTTCAAGAAACATCCAACATACATGCTTGGTGCTGCTCGACTAAGAAGTTTCTCCGGCGAAAGCGCAATTAGAAGTCATTTTCCTCTTAAGACATCCAATTCGATTAAACTCTAAATATACTCATACGTCAAAGATAATTTTGCTTCTATTTTTCTTCAATTTTCCTTCAATTTTAATGTTAATGTATGGCCAGCACCCCAGTGTTTTAAACTTAATTTAGGAAGTAAAACCCTGTGTCCGAAGGAAGAAACGGCAAAAACCAGCTGAATCAGATGTTGAAATAAAATTCAGTTCCAATGTGAGCATTTTACATAAAAGTACAGAGAATACGGTTTTTTTTTTTTTTTTTTTGGGGGGGGGACACGTTGAGGAGGAAACAAGAACCTGAAAGGATAGGTTCATTACACATATGGGAAGTCTTGTTGTACATAAGCTGAGTCCAGACTTATGTTCTACTCTGCCTAACTCTTGGTCTGGTGGTGTTATATAGAGAATAACACATGGGCACATGTAGATATAGAATTTCTCTTCGAGTGTTTAAGTCAATAGCCCTTTACTGACAAGAAAAATCAACTTTATTAATGAATGAAAATAAATGGATCAACAATCCCTGGATACAAATCGTAAAGTACGTTGACGCACTCTAGATGAAAACATGCGTTGAATCACAACAAAAACAAACAATAGGCCTAATTTTCAATGTACAAAATCCTCAGTTATTGAGTTGGTCCTTACCGACAGAAGAAATCTTTCAGGTACACGGCCAAAATCGACCTGTGGCAAATCTTCTAGCTGTCGATTTTTTGTTCTCAGCTGCGAAAAAATGAAATTACCAAAGCCATTGAATACGAAACTTTCGGTTTTTCTTTTTTTTATTTTGTGTTTTCCCCCTTCTAGGAAAGTTTGAACTTCACTGTCTCTAAGAAGAACGGATTTTTTAGTGTTTTAGCAGCCATAATCCGAAAAGATTCGACAAACGACCATGGATTGATAATGGTGAAAGGTTTACCGTTCATTCATCAACCTGACGAAAAAAATGCTAAAGGTTCATACATTTAAGTTGTAGATTTGTTGGGTTCAGTACATCGTGTCGCACCAGGTTGCACTAGGTCGACTTGGAGTCGCTACGCGAACGGATTAAACCGTACCAAGTGTACTGCGATGTTCTACAACAAATTTGGAAATAATTTGTGAGCAATGCAATGAGCTATTCTGCCGTCTATGTGGAAAATTAAGGAGACCCGAAAAGAAAAATGATCCAGAGGCAGATGCCTCTGGATCAAGCTCTCGTAAAATCCGCGTGACCATCATGTCTCAAGGAACAGCAATATTGTGGTTTCTTATATACCAAGCCTTTCACTCAACAAAAGGAGCACTGTGATTGGTTGATTCTTGGTCACGTGTCCCTGATAAAATTCAAATCTATCCCGACCGGGATACAATTGCACAGTTATTGCCTGTGCGCCAAATAAAACAGCATATGTTTTTGCCATATGATTGTTTATACTCTTAATGTATGATTCAGAGGGAAACAGTTAGTTTTGTTTTCCCTCGAGTCCTGATGTCTTGCTCGACTTCGTCTCGAAGGAGTTGCTACATGCTCCTTTTTGTCAAAGAAAAAATACCTTACTTGCAAAAAGTAATTGAGAAAATTTAGTTCACCATATTTGGGACGAAAAAGTGACCCTTACATGATAATGTTTAGATAATTAATGAGACCGTGAGCAGTTCCTTTTTCATCCACCTGCTAACAGATGATTGAGAAGTCTTCTATTGCTTTTTATAGAAAATTAAAGGACTCTTTAATCTACGAATGGTTTCAACAGACTTCTGCTAATTTTTTGCCGAGAAATATACCTAAATTGCCGGTTCATTTCACATTCAAATTGCTGGCACACAATCAGCGCACGCAAATGAGCCGGAAATTTTGACAAGTTCTTTTCTATATATTTACAATTACTTATAAGACTCGTATGCAAACTTAGCTTGTTTGTTGTTCAGCATCATAATCAGTACCGCCAAACATCAATGACGTGAAGAAGATCGAAACGTGGTTAACTTCCATCGTTTAAACATGCGTAGTTAACACGTTTACTCAATCTAACTGATTACCAATCGGCCTCTGATTCAGGTGATTCTGTGAGTAGTTTTTGATCGCCATCCTTACTGTTTTCGCTAATTGTCGAACGCCACAGAGCATTCCTTGATTCTGGTAAGAATATTTTCTTAGCTTTTGAATTGGGATTTGCTTTTGAATGGAAACTTTCTTGCAGCATTTTGTGTTAAAGATAGTTACATCTTAATTTTGAACAGTTTTGTGTTGCGTGTGTGTGGATGTGCATTTGTGTATGGGTTGAAAACTTATTTATTTCATGTGACGCTGTCTAAGGTACCTTCAAGTCAAACAATAATAGATTACAATGATGACCATTTATTTACGGAAGTCTTACATACAGATTCCGCATCAAATAAGATATAGCTCACTTGAATCAGTCAAATTACAAAGCTTAGCGCCTTTCTGGAGTTGAGATGTCTTTCCTCCGCCACCAAACTCACCAGCCAGGTGTTAATCTCTTCTTCAAGAATTGAATTAATTTTTTTTCGCTTTTAATTTTGTAATGACGACAAAAGAAAGATCTTAACAATTGTATATACTTAATTTGGCAGTTTTCGTATCTTGCAAATCGCTGCGTCGAGATGGAGTCGTGAAAACCTCGAAGTTGTCTCACAGATCATCACCTTAATCAGTTATGATAACACACCCTTAAAGTAACTTGTCTCTCAGAAATCAAACAGAAGAGTCTATAATAAGGTTAAGTTTAGTTTATGGACGCATGTATTTTAATGAACAACGTGGTTTTAATATTCTGTCTCTCGACTTGAGGATATTGTTTACAGATAATACAATAAAGTCGGAGCATATAAGCAAAGCAATCTTCCCAAGATACTACCTCAATTTTCTTTGCTTTGATCACTGAACAACCGATAATCGAGAAGAAAAGCCGTGTCAAAACGTTGAATAAAAATATGAAAGCTTCACCTGATAAGGAATAATTAATCATTTTACCTTTAGCAAATAGTTGTAGCTTGTTACCTGAGACCATGGAAACCCACGATGAGAATTAGTTTTGGGTTTTTACAGCTTGGTTTGTCTCACCTAATTATAATGGCAATCGTATGAATCAAATGAAACTGAGCTTTGTAATAACAATAAAACAAAGACGTCTGGCCAGTATATCAAATTTTTTTTGAATATATTACTTGGCTGAGTAACTTCTGTTTGCATTATACTTTCATCAACAGCGCATGAAACTTCTCCAATCTTGTGCTTGTACTTGCTAGAGGTAAATGATTTTGTTTTTTTTGGTGTAGGAAGAAATTCAGTTAACCAATTGCACATATCGAGAAAGAAAACTATGATTTTAAGGATATGGTTTAGAGACAATGGTTATTATGCATGTTTCAAACTTTGGCGCTCACATTTGATAGCGCCGGAAATTAACCTTGTCACAATCTTGGAAGTGACCAGGAAGCAATTTCTCCGTTCTATATCAACATATTGTCAATCAAGAGGATGATAACGAAACAAAAAATCAGGGTAAATTGTTTGGGTCAAAAGCAAACTCACAGAGTTAGCAATTCTACGAAATGTTATCGCATACAGTAAACAGAAACAGTTTCAACAATTAAACCTATATTCCTCGTGACCGAGGAATATATCACCCTGAAGACAGAAATAAGAGCGGAAACTGAAACAAGAAATCTGCTGTGAAAATCAATTTACACAGCGTATATTTTTTTGCATTGTTATGATAATATTTTATCACTTTTGTTTCTTTTCAGTTAAATTATAATCATTTCGTTTTGCCAGTATTGCATTGATCGTGTTAGAGTAAAAGTCAGAGAACTTTCAGTATGGTTTGCCTGCTACGTGTTATCATTTATGCGAGGGAATCCTTAGCATATCAACTTATTTACGCTCACCCTTTGTTACAAAGAATATATATAAATATATGTCGACTGTTTTTCCGATTACAGGTATGAACCGGTCAAACAACAACGAAGGCAGCCCGTCCTTAACCCCTTTACGCTGTAACTGTGGTCTGTTTTGCCCAAGTCTCTACACTAAAGTATCTCTTACAATTGCCTATGTTGTCTTACTAATAACAGCGAGTATAGGAAACATCCTGGTTTTTTTACTTCTGCGTAGATGCAAGAGTACAGCTCAAATGACCTTTAACTATCTTATCATGAATATGGCCGTTGGAGATATTATTGGAGTCTTCAGCTCAGCAATATTAGCAGTTTCCTTCACTTTTGTTGGTCATCATTGGATTTCAGGCCTATTTGGAGAAGTTCTCTGCAAAATGGTTCCTTTTGTTCTCACTCTGTCTATTTATTTGTCAATATGGACCTTAGTGGTTATGTCTGTGGATCGATACTTTTCAATTTCTCATTCTTCCAAGAAACCAATGAGTAGAAAAGTAGTAAAAAGAAGCATCGTCTCAGTCTGGTTCATCGCTGCCATGGCTGCCTCTCCATACCTATATAAGATGCAATTAAGAGAGACAAGTGATAAATCTGAGTGTCGTTCTCTTTGGAGTGAAGATCTTGAAAGGCATTTATTTATGAGTAGAGGTGAAGAGATCGTCAAGTTTGTTTTAACGTACGTTATTCCTTTATCTGTAATAGGGACAATGAATATCATAATCGGCCGTACTCTAAGTAGCTTGAAACCAATCAATGACTGTAAAATACAAGCGAAGAGAGCCAAACGTAATCGAAAGATTTACAAACTTTTAGTTTCAATTGTTTCGTTATTCGCCTTTTGTTGGGTATTTGCCCATGTAAACCATCTTTTGTCTGCTTTCGATATTGTTACCTATTGTAATCTTCCCGCTGCTGTTCCCTTTTTCTTCTTCTGGATTTCTCATTTAAATGCAGCTGGTAATCCCATAATATATGCTGTATTCAATAGAAGCCTTCAAAAAGGATTCAGGAAAACAGGGAAGAAAGGAGGTAGAAGGAGTTCATCCAAAAGAAAAGTATGAAACATGCAGCTGCTGTAAAGGGGAGTTCCTTGTAGGGGTTTAAAGAACTCTGGTTCGCAAAAAGTCTTTAAAATCAAGTGCAAAAAAAGAGGTGAATAGCTTGATAATAACGAAAAGTAAGCTATGAGTATGCTATTATATATCTGACGACTTTCAAAATAGCTTTTTCCATTTTCACTCTAATTTAATGATGCTATGATATCTGGCAGCAATTATCAACGTTAAGAGTACATAACTTGGGAAACCAACTCTCTCTCGCAGCTCCTATCTTTGTTACTCGTCATTTGTGACCTTAGTCAAACTTTACTACAAATCTTCTTCTCACAATCACCGTTTTTACGATGTGAATACCAGTTTCAATCTTTAACCCTTAACGCTAGTGGAGGCCTACTTTCTCCTGTCTAAGAAAAGGCTCATTTCTTGCTTCTCTGTCCAGGAATACTTATAGTTGCGACGAAGAATTCCCTTCTATTTGTTCATTATGTTCATTTTTTTGAGGCTGTGAGATTCGTTTTCTGAGCACTCCAGAGATTCGTGGGGCTAAAATATTAATTGAGCACTTAAATTGTCACCCACTTCCCCATTTTCAGCCACACAAATGAATTGTTGTCCTTGAAAAAGAAAAACATGGAAAGTTGATTGAACAAATTAAAACCAGTTTTTGCATCTCAGATCAAAAGTGTATGCGTGGTACCGAAAAACACCTTGCTGGAGAAAATCTGCACCTTGGACATCCAACCAAAAGCAACTTCACAACGCTAATTAAGAGAGAATAAAAAAGCCGCTCCATTTTTACTGCACATCGACTCACTTCTTTAACTTTAATAACAACTGTTTCCCAAATTTTTTAGATATTCTTAATATTTTGCTGTATTAGATTGAATCCGTATTTAAATTACAGATGAACGTGTACTATGAAATATTCTCCTGCCCTTTGAAGTTACTTTAACTCCATTTGGCTCACACATAAAGGTCTGTCATAATCATTTAGTAAGTGGATGACTCTTTTAGCTACCGTGTCAGCCATGCTGGCATAATGTTTAATTATCTTAGCTTGACAATCACTAAATTTGCTTTTTAAGTCGTAGCACTTGTTCAGTTTCTCTGCATCACCACAGATCTTGTGATCGTTCATCAACAAAGTCACATAATACAGTACGCACTGCTTGTGGACACTCACTGCACACTCTTCGAAACTATCAAACTCTGTCAAAGAAAGGAGATGATTGCAAGAAAAAATTAAGAAAGGTCAGGAAAGTGAACTTTGGTAGAATGATATATATTATGTGAGCTCATCATTTCGATAGCCTGATTTCATCATTTTTACATACATTTTGAATTTACAGGTGATTCCAGAAATCTGCTTGGTACTTAGCAGTGATGTTTGTTCAGACACCGAACCATTTTTTGCTTTGAATGAATTATTTTCTTTTTCGGGGGCCAATCATATGATGAAACACTTAAACACAACAGCTTATCTGATTGAAAGCTTCTTCCAAGTAACCCAAATTTCCGGATAATATTGTTACTGACCAAAACCCCACATTGGGGCGATTTCTGCGTTGGAAAAAGATTATAATCTCTTGACTAAATTAATTACCAAGGTGTATCAAATATTCCTGAATTGAAGACACTTTTATGAGTTAGCTAAAGGGTTTCCAACTTTATCCAGCTCGTCTTAACTCCTGCAAGGGCTTCCTTACATAATTCATGGAGTTATCAGGAGTCTGCCTGACTTTATTGAAAGTAAAGTCATAAATAAGTTGTTTCGTTACCAAACTTTGTAACACAAATGAGCTCATTACCGACATCGTCCAGTTGGCGATGGGTTTTAGCGACATCTACAAGAGAGGAAAAATGAAAAGAAACAATGGCTATGTACAATCAAAATTCATGTCAAGTTGTTTCGTTGAAGTGTTTTTTAATAATTTAAAACAATAATAGGCAAAATGTTTCGACCTTGCACAAATGATGCCAGGTTTGAATCGTCATTAGGTGGTAGACTTTTTTACCGGAACGCAAAACTTAACATGCTGTACTTTTAACTCCAACTGATTCCTCCCAGAATTACATTAGCTTTGAAATTAAAGAGTTTTTCAGATTTTTGTTTGGTTTTACGACATCCAATCGGAAACTGATAGGTGAACAGACCAATTAATCTATTCAAAACAATTGCTATAGTTTTTACCAACCTGTATCCTGCACCACCGTCCTGAGATTTTCGTATCTAATATCCTTGCAGATGTTTAAAGTCTTGTCCATCATAGCCATCTGCGCCATCCAATAACGGAACTTTTCAATCAGTTCGCCACCACAGTTGGGATTACTGGCAAGACATGTGACCATTTTCTGAGAGAAAAAGTGATCAAAACAAAGACTTTGCAGCGCCTCAGGTAACCTCTTCTCATATCCAAGAAGCGCTAGTGTGTAGGTGACTACAAAATATTCATAGAAGTTTTCAAAATAGAGCTTTAACTATAACTGCCGTATGCGCCGACTTTCGCATGAAATTTGGAAGACAGAAAGTAACTATGGTATGTAGAAAATAGAATGAAACAGATGAGGGACACAGAAAGAAAACGAATGAACAGCTGGAATTTAAATGAATGAATATCGATACTATAGGCTTACAAAATATGCTGACGAAACTGACTTATCATACTTGCAATCTGTAGCAGTGACCCTCTTCTCCTTTATAACTGCTTCTCAGAGCTTCTTGGTAAACTGCTTTACACCGATTTAACAAAACAATCTGACACTGTTCGGTATTTGTAGCTGCCACTACAACTAACATGATGAGCATGCTAGGTATCATCCAATCCTGTTTAACCATCTTTTTAAGGATGGTGTTATACACAGAAATGTTGTGGTTGAGATCTATGAAAAGAAAAGATAAAAAGAAAGAAATAACCAAACCAATGCCTTTGACAGGATTCAGATGAAGAATTCAGCCAAAATTTTGGTTGTTACAACCCTTGTTAACCCTTCCACCGGTAAGATCCAGATATGAATTCTTCTTCACATCGTCACTCATACTTTTCTTGTTATTCCAGAACCAAGAAATGAACTTCACTTTGCATCAAACTACGTCTGTATTTCGACATTCATCTTAATTCATAATCCCTCGCTGCAAAAAATTGTTTCGATTGTGCCGGCAGAAATTCCTCTTTGGTTGCTCTTGGCTTTGAAAGGGTTGGTCCTCCTCATCCTGGAAAGCCTTCTTTCATCTTTAGCCTATGTCCTCTATTTTGAAGTCATCAAAATCATAGTTCTAGGCCGCCTTAGAAAGTCATTTGTAGGTGATAGCAAACGACTTAAATACTTTGACGCTGCTACAACTTTAGTCAGAAATTATATTCTTACGTGGGCTTTTCAAGAACCCCCTTCTTAGAAGCAATTTTGAAACCAACTACAGTTTATCTGAGTATTTCCAGGACTCTTATCGGCATTGTATTGGGAGTGCTGTTGACTATATGTCAATTTTCAACCTTTCTGTCGGTGTAAGTGTCCATAGAACTTCTTGAGAGTTGTAATTCTCTCTTCAGCTCATGGTTAAACCCAATTTGTCGCGAAAGCTGGAACTATTTTGTCTGTCCGTCGATCAAGGCGAAGGATTATGGACTAAATTCTTTATCCATCGATATCGTAGGGATTTCTATTTTTTATGCAAATTGACAAAGGGAAGAGAATAAAACAACCTTAAAAAAATTGTACTTGGCATTCAAAACTACTTTCTTGATAAACTCGAAAAGAATTTGCCAAAAAAATCTTCAAGTAATAATTGGTATCTTGCCTCAGCGCGTCAGAGCAAACTGCACATTTCCATTTGTGTTAAGGAAAGTTCCAATTTTTATACATTACATACCAAAAGTTAAAAGATCGAACTATTTATGTTCATTCTAGGTAACAATCAAAGTTTATCAAAACAAAATTTCATGTTATCCACTGGAAGAGTCATTTTTCATGTCAGAATTAAATCTGCCGCATGATGACACGTGTTCGAACGAGTGACATTATTATAATTGCTACACCGTCTCTTACCTGTAACTTTGGTGCCCTCTACTGAAGAGATCTCTCTGCCCTTCAAAAAATATTCGACGAAGTGATTAATCCGGCAGGACCAAAAGCTCAAAGAATCTACCTAAGTTAAGATTCTTTTTAATTAAAATCTTAATCGTACAATTTGTGATAAAAGTTTGCGCAAGGGATCAGTTCCACTGTAAGGTTATAAAAGGTTTTGCGCCGATTTGCGACGGTAAACAGGGATCTATTGGGGAAGCCGTGACAAGTTAATGAAAAATCGTCCCTATTCCCAAAGGTGAAACAGAAAGTTCGGGTTTCTGCCCCTTTTCAAGCGTTCAAGATGTAAGGGTCCTTCTCTACAAAAAGGCGTCAATATTTGTTTCAGAGTAACTATTGAATTTAAGAGCGAAATAAGTATCTCTTAATTAAATACAGATGCTCCTGCTTGTTTGCTTTGTTTTGTTTTGTTTTTATAGAGAATATTCTGAAAGCGCTATTGCTTTTCACATTTTCATTTTATAAGTCGAAATATAGTTTCCTCCTTTCCAGGTTAAACACAAAACCTGCCTTGTTTTCCTCGTTTTTTTTTTGTCCATGGGCAGAGTAGCGGAGAAATGAAGAAAATAAAAAAATAAATGTGATTTTCAATCAAAATTGCACGCAATGGTGAAACTAAATAGAGATTTTAAGAAGGAAATTAAACCAAATAACAAAGCGAGCAAATGAGAACGATAAGAAATATGTAATAAAAATGAGCGGTGATTACTTCCGAGTATGTTGAGAGGGAGCGAATCGTCAACAGTGTATATAGAGTTGTTATTTTATCTTCGCTCAGTTCAAAAGGATGTTTTTGGTTCATAGAAAATAAAAATAACGAGGACAATTAAAAGCAATCATTAGTGTTTCTACAACTGAAAACTGACTTTTCACTTTCTTCCGGAGTAACTTAAAGATTGACAGATAAAGAGGTTATTACTTTCATTTAGCTAGATTGCTGCTTTACTCAAAGTTCTCTTCCTTATTTTACAAAATTCATTATCTTGGCGATCGCAACCATTGTATGTGACATAATTCTTTCTTCTTGGACAAGGAGGGTCATTTTCAAAGCTTTTCACTCACTTTGAAAAAATTTGATGCCGACAGAAACTTCTGCGCGAGGTACGCTTGAACTCTATAACATCATGAACGAGACTGAATTAGAGCTGACACCAGTTTTTTATCAGAAGAATTTAGAAAAGCTGAGCGAAGCCCGTAACTACTTTTTTCCAGTCGTCAATAAGGAAAGGAAAAAATGAATCGATCATAATTTAAATTAAACTTGAATAATGGTGATATGAGAAATGAAAGAAGAACTAGCAACGAAGCGCTCTAGAGGACCCCACTAACTCAAAACGTATGCAAATTGTTTCATTGAGGTTTATGGACCTGGCTGTTTCCATTAACGCTAAAAAGAGCTGCTCACGTCAACAAATTGACCCCACGTTTTTAAGAAAATTAGGTTTTCTTTTTTCTGTGACAAGCGGTAAACACCATAGCCACAAAAAACAAGATTGATTGGCTGTTGAAGAACCTGTATTGGTCTCTAAAACCAGCAGTTTATGCAGGTGCTTGTAGATACAATAAAGCGTCAAGCACTGTACGAGGTACTGAACAAATATCCTCGTTAGCATACGAGCGCCATGCTGAGAAAATCTGCACTCTCATTGGTAACGTGGCAATCATTTGCAAAGCGACAGAAGAGCGGTTTTCACGTTCCTACTTTTATGCACTGATTACTACTTTTGATGGAGAAGCAAATGGACCGTTAAATTTGATATCCTACACGTTTAAACGTGGAGGGCCTTTTTCTAAATCCCAAGTTTTTCTCGGAATCTCGACTACTGAATTGATGTTCTTTCTTAAGGCTTGTAGCACACGCGATATGAATCCCACTGAATAGTTACTCTGTACCTTTTGTTGATAGTTGATGGTTTGTGTTCGTTTTTTATAAAAAGAGTACGGTGGAATTACAGACATTGTCGTTTTTCCGTATCCAATTTTCTTGGGAGTAACTGCGTCCCGAATGTTGACAAAAGTTGGCTTTTGACCAGCACCCTCGTTATTCAGATATCAACCATGCTTACCTTAAACAATGGAAAAGTCCTACGGGTTGACAAGTGAAGAAAAATTTTCTTCCCTATTGTTTGGAGAATATACCGATTCTATTTCGCTTAATACGAATTTCGTGTTTTTCTTGTCACCTTTTAAGGTATTTCGTTCACACAGTATCGTCCGACAGGGAAAAACGGGAGTAAACGATCAGCTGACGTAAGAGAGAAATCAATGTTGTTCGGCTAACATCCGGGATCCCGATCGAGAAAAATGTAAGCACTTTTCAATGATTTAGTGGTAATATGTAATGCTGACCACACATGAATTAGCCTTTTAGTTTGTTGCGATGCTCAGTAGAATTAAAATAATGCTCAAAGGCAACCACAAAACTGCCACGGCGAATCTAATGTTGTGGCCGGTCGCAGATCGCGGGTCGCGGGTAAATTGTCGCGGGACGCGGGTAAATCTAACGTGGTAAACTTAAGCGAAGTTTTTTGGATCAAGTTGACGGCTACTCTATGAGTAAGCCATCCTGTTTTAAATTTTAATTGTGGTTTCAGATTTTGACAATTTTTTTGCCACAATACTGCTGGGAGGTTGTAAATCAGTTTAAGATCAGTGTGCTGCTGACACAAGTCATACTCGGGCAAAAGTAAAGTATAGTTTCGGTGGTCTTAGCTTTTAACCACAGAGTAAAAACTTCAATATTGTCCAAATCCCGCCGCTTTAATATGTTACGGGCACCTTGAAGCAGCTGCTAACGTAAGCAGCGCCTAGGTAGTGATAATTAGTTGTGCAAGTTATTTCAGGTGTTTTGTAAATACTTATATTGTTCAAATGCTCTTCTTAGGGAATTTATAGGATGGAGACTTTTGCAGCGTGGAAATGATGACATGACATGGATTAGTTTGATTTTTTTTAATCATCAGCCATAATTTCCCATTACGGTTGTTACTTTTATATTCGTCTGTTTTGCGCGGTAGAGTTACTGTACTGAAGAGAATATCTAGCCGTATACCGGTGTAAATACTTTTTCGCTGGCTGATCTGGATAAAATCAAATATTTTATTTACATAATTATGTCGTAGCGCATGTCATTTATCATACCTATTAATACAGCAGAGTATAATAGGCCCCGCTTAGCTCTTCTGCCCTACTACAGCTACAGTGACAAATAGTTTTGATGTGCAAATTTAACTGCGTTTCATGTCTCCAATAAAAACCCGAGCTTCTATGGATTATTCTCAGCCTTCATCATACAGTAATCCGTTTGCCAAAGTCATAAGGGGGCCACTTGACAACCACCCAATAGTCTCGAGCCCTTTTCCACATGGGAAGAGTCCTTTGATTGGTGAGCTTTACCCGTACATATATTACATATTGATATTTCAGGCCTAAATGAAGGCTTCGTCGACTAGATATATTCGTAAACATTTTTTCTCAAATTATATGCTTACCATTCAATTGAAATCAAGTTTCTGATGGACTTAGAATCCTCCTGGTAACTTGTTCCATTTACCACAATGTTATTAAGTATGCAACAGATGTCTGCATGATTACTAAAATTAAAATCATTTCTTTTCTTCGTATCTTTTAGCTCGTTCAGTATAATTATTTTAACCTTCACTTTCAATATGGCCTATATTAGCGCTCGGATCTTAACCGTTGTCTTGATAACGATCAAATTTTTATAATATCATCATCATCATCACTATCGTCGTCGTTGTCATTTTCGTCTTTGTTGTCGTTATCGTCATAAACTTTATCGTGATCGCTATTCTCAATATCTTTCTTGTTATTTTCAAATCCATGGGTCAAATCGTTATCTTTATCATATTAACAAAAGCGTTTAGCAGAAATATACTTTACTTTGATGCACAGCTGATTAGAACTATCCGGCACAAAGAAAGCATTCTTTTCCCGTATTATTTGTCTTCCAATTGAAAGAGATATAATGCTTTAAAAAAATATAACAGAAAGATAACTTAAAGAGATGCAAAAGTAATTTTATGCTGTGCCTTACATTCGGTGTTTGATTTATAGGCGCGTTACAAATACTTCATCGGTTTCAGTGCTCTTTTCCCTAGAGAGTTGACGAAATACGCCCTTTATGCCCCCTCGGCTTGGATCCCGCTCGAGAGTCGATGATGTTGGCCACTGTTTTATCTTCCAAGTAGGAATCCGATCTCCCGCTTTTCTCTGACATCTGACGAGGAGTCGCCTGAGTCCCTTCCGATAATTCTCGTTGAAGATGAGGTAGATACAAGGATTGACGGCGCCATTTGCATGTCCTGGCACGAGAAGTGTATACAGGAGAGAAATTGGCCAACACTTGATCTTTTCTGGGGCGAACGCAATCATTATCGACACCACATGGGCTGGAAGCCACGAAAATGCAAAGAGAAGGACGACGGTCACCAACATCTTAATTACAGTGACGTTCTGCTGTTGAATGCGAAGCTGTGACATGTTTTCCCCAAGGGCCTGTCGTTTCTTCAAGACTTGGATAATGAAGGAATACAAGACAGCGATAACAAAAAGAGGAAGTATGTAGAAGAACAGAAGTCTTGCCGTCACCTCATACTTATAAAAATATAAATTTTTTCCGAAATCGTCGCTCCAGGTGCCATAACAGAAATATTGCCCGTTTTTCCATGGACGAAATTTGTATTTGATCAGATAGGGTAGCGACATGATTGCTGTAAGGAACCATACTGAGACCACACCCAGTTTTACCTTCTTTTTCGAGAGAGGTTTCCTCATGACGTGCACAATTGCCAAGTACCTATCCGCTGAGATAGCCACTAGGGTAAAAATGGAGGCCACTAGTGATATGTTGAAGAGAAAGTTGAAAAATTTACAAGTGATATCTCCAATTAATCCGTCAAACCAGTGGTTGGACATATAGATATTCCAGACTGTCATTGGTACAGCAACCAAAGCATCCATTATGTCAGCCACTGCCATGGAGATGATGAAATAATTGAAGGCAACTTTTCGAATGCGTCTTTTTGTCTTTGCTATCAAAATGATGGCGCAGTTTCCAGAGAGGGCAACAACGAACACAAGAACATAAACGATGGTCAAAGCCAGCTTTGTCGCAAAGCTTTTTGAAATGAGCCCGAGTGTACACTGAGTAACGGCGTGCACACCACCTAGTGTTGAAATGTTGCTATTGTTCATAGCTGCAACTTATAAACAAAATACAATATTAATGTGTGGCTTCTGCTTGAGGCTAAATCACCTCACTCTATCATTGATTGAGCATGCTCATTTCCCGGAAATCAATGTATAAAATGATATTTTTCACTATGTAGTTTAATATCCTGTCCTTCTGTTCAATAACTAGTTGATAAATATCATTAGATAATTTCCTTTGTAAAAACGAGTTGCTCAAGTCGCACTTGGCGAAAACTTTGGTAAGAGAAAACTGTAACATCTTCGATAGTATCTCAAATTAACCTGCTATACGACAGTGTGCGTTGTGCTACTGGTACACGCGCAAACAAGTCCTTGAAAAAAAAAAACGCTTTCCTGTATTTGGCTTACATTGTGGCGTTCTTAATTAGGACCTACCTGCTTTAAAATTGGTAGCAGCATGTATTTCTCATGGTTTCCCTTAACCGGCAATCTGAGAGTCAAACTGTGAAAATTGCATGAGTAAGAAACCTTTCTTCAAGTGTTATAGGGGTTACCCCAGTTTTCGTTGACATTTTCTTCAACTGGGATCAGATTTTTCGTCGATTTTGTTAAAAGTGGATGTAAAACAAGATGTAACGTGCGCTAAGAGCACCACGACTAGATGCAAGAGAAAGAAGTCGTGTTCCTCAATACTTATGAACATACCTATGAACAAGACAAATCAACCAAGCTGTATATTCAAATCTGAATCGTTCAACATTCCATGCCAGAGTTCGAAAATATTATTTGATAAGAACAATAAAATGTTGCCGTTAGCTAGCGGGTTTTGAGTTGACCTTAAATATTCTTGTCTTGAAAATTATTTATGTCTGTACAGAATTCACACTCATACAATATTATCACTTTGAACACTATTTAGTTACAGTAAATGATAGCTGTTTTCAGAGTAAGAGAATATGGATATCCCCTCATGTGCCCTTTTTCTTTTAAATGACTGTGCGACAAGAAAGAGGTTCTAGCTTACCATTAAGCTCATGTGAAGCCTGGACTTGTTAAAACTCAATAGTGCAGACCCGCCTCATCGTAGATGGAAGAATAAATGTGCTGTTTCGAAAAACCGGCAAAAACCTATATTGTTTACCACAACTGAGAATTTTTAAAAGCAATGAATTTAATCAGTTACAGAAATAACCGTAATGCATTCAAAGCCGAACCGACGATATGACTGTGACCGCCACCGGTTCAGCCTCGGGCGCCGAGAGTGTATTTTCCTCTCTACGAAGAAAAAATTTCTTTGCTCCTTCTTGACTCAAAATAAAAGGATTGTCTTTTCTGCCACTAATTCAAAAAACTTTTCGAATTCTTTTTACTAAAGAAGGGTATTTTTTTTTTATCCTAAGAATAATCTAGAACACTCATTTTGTAGCAGTGTACATGTATATTAAAATTGCTCATCCACTAATTAAACTGTAAGCCTCGGTCACGATTGCAAATAGGCCGCCGTTTCCATTTTCAAAAGCAAAAGCCTTTAACATGATTTTAATTTCTGCTAGTATTTAAGAAAAAGTGGAAACTGCTTGTAGTTGTGCTAATAGCATCTTGTTGAAAGTAGCTTCTCTACAATATTGATTATTCAGAATTTTTCATCTCCATATCCCCAAAAGAGAACTAAAAAGCGGAATTTCCGGCCGGGTCAGCGGAAAGATAAAATCAAACTTTATTTTCATCGGACTACTTTTTACAGGCGAAAAGAAACAAATCTAAAATCAATTTAAAACATAATTTTCATGTAAACCGTGAATTAGATCGCGGGGAAAATGTTTTAGTACAGATGGTGGTAAAATCGAAAAAAGATTAAAGTGCAGCCCGAACTTTGCATGGAACACTTTTTGAATTTCAAATTTTGTTCTCAAACGAATATGTGCTCATTTCTCCAATGATATTTAGCTGCTTTATTATAATTAGTTAGTTGACACCAAAGCATCTCATGAGTTCGAAATATCACATTTTACTTAGTCCAAAAGATAGAGCTCGCCGTTTCTGTTTTATTTTAGCTATACTTTCAATTGAAAAGAAAAAGAAGGCTACGAAATTTATAAATTTCAAAAGCTAAAGCACAACCCGGCAACATTGATAATGCATTATTTTTTTATATTGTATATTTATTTTTTTCGGTTGGCTTTGCCTCAGTTTAATTCCGCCTTATCTCCGTTAATATCCTTTTGGGTGATTAAATCAGCCATAATTCAAACGTCAGAACTTTATGACGCACTTTCCTTTCCATGTGATTTGATGAAAAAAACTGACGGCTTGGATGTGGGAGGTAGTTTAGAAATAACACAATTGTTAATTGAAGTTCGCCTAATGTTTATTGGACGCAATACCCGGAGGTTCGTGCCAAATGACATTGCCTGTATTTCTGAATCCACTTGAAATGGACCTACGCAGTTGTGGACGATAAGCTTAAGAGAATATTTAAAAAGTATTTTTCTCAAAACAAGTGGCTGGAAATATTTTTAGTTGGTTGCTTGTTCAGCTGCATTGCGCAATACGCTGAAGAAGAGAGAGGCTTGCCGAGCTTTGCCAAATGATTAATTGAATTTTCTAAAGCAGCACGTAGCGAAACCATTAAAATGTTTGCATGTCTCGTACTGTTAGATGCTATAAAAAGTGCTTTTTCGGATCGTAGTCATAACACTACAGAATTGCTCCATTGTTCAGCTAATGGCCTCTACAAGAATATGCATGAAAAGGAAAGGATATGTATATCAGTGCTTTTTGTGAACAAAAATGTTGATAAGTGCATGAAGCTCAAATCAAAGTAATAAAAACAAGTTTACCTTATCTTAGTTCCAAAGGCATCGCACAAAAAGTTTCGGTTGAATTATGTTTCAGTTGATAACTTACCATACCAGGAAGTTTCATTTCTTGTGAACGAGCTTACGAAGTAGTTAGAGTTTCTGTCTCAATGTAATCATCGTCGCACTGTAACAAATTAACAAATAGAGAAGCCTTGATTGTGCTCTGTTCCGTTTTAAAGCAGACAGGAAGCGGCTAGAGCACGAAAGAAGTATAGGGAGAAATACGAGATGTAGTCGAGTGTTTATCCCGACTTCTTGAGTGCTTTAGCCGCTTCCTAAGTGCTTTACAACAAAACAGATCACAGTCAAGGCTCCTCTGTTTGTTTTGTAATAAAGAATCCGTTAAACTCTCCAAGAAACTTTATTCCTAAGAGGAAAACAGTGTCGTCAGCATGTTCTATACTCTCATAAAGCACGCTATAATAAGCCAATCAGAATCTCTGCTAGAATGGTTCAAATAATCTGATTGGCTGTACAAGACTTAAGCTTCCTAAAATGTTAATCCATGAAAGTTCAAAAACTAGCAAGTTCACATTCTGTAATAGTTTACAAATTCAAATAGTTCGTCAGGTCTTCGTTGCCTGAAGTTTTTTAGTGTCTAATACAGAATCTAGAAGTGAAATGTTCAATGAAATTCGGCCGAATTGTGGCTTATAAAAACACGCAAGTTTTTTCACATGACATGTAGAAAACAAACTGTTCAAGGCGAGTGTTTTATGAATCACCGGAACATGAAGATCGCTCGGGATGACGGCGCCGTAAAACCCCGCTGCAGTGACTCATGTGGCCTTCCACTCAACGCATCGGAAAGGATATCAGAGCAAGCTCTTATTTTTTCGCTCGAAGGCGGTCGATGTAGTTCCTGAGGCTTACTTCACTGCGATGACCAAAGATCGCCACAATGAGCTAGCCGCGATGGATCTCAGCATGATCGCAGTCGCTCTTACACCGTCATGATTAGTATGAATTTTAACAGTTATGCCAGTTTGGTTATATTTTTCATAATTCCTGTTTTGTTCTGTTTTGTTTTTGAACATGAAAATTTATACACTATACGAGTGTTAGCTATGTTTGATTTTTATTACCGTACGTAAGCTTGCAATCTAACTTAGCGTGAAAACCTTTAGAACTCGGTATGTCCATTTCGTTTTCTCTTTGAGGTTTTTTGTCTCTGCTCACGTTACAATAAGGTAAATTATGGCGCTTGGCATTTTTACACACCTTTGTTTGGTTCTTCTGTTGCCACTTGCCGGCTCGTCCGAAATTTCACTTTCAATAAACAAAAAAAAAGCTAGAGAGAAGTCCCGGAAAAGGTCGGTACAATTTGTCAGATGGCCTAACAGCTTTAGCTCAGCTCTATGTTCTATACTCTCAGAGAGGGTCTCGATGGGGTGATGGCTTTTATGGCTATCGGTTAAAATTTTGGCCAATTTCCGGCTAACGGTTAACACCTTTCCATTGTTTCCACCAGAGATATTTTTTACGGTTAACTTTTTTTACGACTAACGGTTAAAATTTGTCAATTTTTACGTCTAACGGCTAAATACTTTGGCCGTTTTACGGCTAACGGTTAACCCCTGTGGGACCCTCCTCATAGAGCACGCTCCTTCAACCAATGATAGTACGCGTTATATCCGAACTTTATTATAATATGTGATAGAGTGAAGGAGTCGAACTCGTTGTCACCGAAATCCAAAATCCAATCGTTTCGGGAACGAGTTTAACATAGTTCAACACGATACGCTATTTACAAACACGTAATCTACTTACAATACATAATCAAAATGTATAATGATGTTGGATTAATTTTACTTATTTTACATTTATGAATAAAAAAGTTACCCATAAGAAACAAATGGGTCAGATTAAGATGGTCTTAACTTTTAACAAACACACCGGATGAAATATTTATACTACAAGTGTTAAAGTTTCCTTATGTATGTTATTTATTTTATTAATAAAAAAGAGAGAGCCCCCCGAAAATCTTTTGATATATTTCAGTAAAAAGGAGATGATCGAAGGATTCAACTTCCTTCTGAAAAAAGGTGCATACAGGCGATTCAGTCATTTTAAAAAGGAATAGCCTCTCAATTGCGAGAATTATACAATTTAATAACTTGCATTGAAACTCTCTAATTTTGGTCCCAACAGTGACAGTAAGTGCCAGAGAGTAGATCTTTTTCCAGTCTGCCAAAAGCTCGGGATTCTTTTTTCTGCTTTTCTAGACAGGTTGGGGGAGTTTTTTTTTATGTTTGAAATTCTCTATAGGGTAGTTTTGAGCGCCAGATTAGTTTTAACCTAATCAATAAAGACAAACAATGTATCACTTAGCTGTGGTGGGCGGAGATGTTGGGGCTGAACCTGCGACCGTTTAACATTTAGTCTCCACTCACTGGGTATGGATTCTACAATGGCTATTAATTTCAAGTTCTGGATTAGAAATAGATTCAATTCGGACACTTTGGAGCTTTCAAGAAATTTGCCTGTATTAGATAATAAGCCGCCCATTTTAACGAAAATGAATGTATTTCCAAGAGCGATTTTCCATACAATTTTTCCATTATTCTTGAAAATATGGTTGACAACATCGTCATTGGGGGCCTCGATTGAACCTTTAAGTAAAAAACATAGGCATGCTATGCATGCAAAAGTTATTTTTTGGGGGGTGGGTGGATTACTTGAAACATTGTAAGTGATGTCTACATTCTTACGAAAGGAAAGAAGAGTATTAATGCGGCAAAGAACGGAAATGTCGAATTAACCTACACACAGGTATTTTGTGGTAGATTCTGTGTGTTGTGCGAATAACTGTAACCAAAAATAAACTGTATTGGTGCCACGGATACCTGTGAGAACAAAATGAAGACTGCAGACCGGATACAAAATGTAGACTAGATACAGAATGTAGAATGCAGACTGCAGAGTGGGTACAAAATGCAGACTGAGAATCTAAAGAGTTTTTTCGTCTGGCATGTAATAACATGTCATCTTACAACTTACCGAGCATCACGCAATCGCTTTTCCGGGCTCAGCGGAAAAGCGATTGCGTGACGATTTTTCACGGTTATTTGCACTATTTTGGAATATTCCTGGCCCATTTTTGATGAAAATCGATCGTAATATAATTTGAAGCCTTCATATAGTCTTCTCACTTTGCACGCGAGTTGGCTGGCGTAATGTCTGTACAGATTTTACCAACGTAATAAAAGTAGATGTAAATTTTGATGTAAACG